AGGTAGTTCGCGGTGTTGGAATCTGGCTTTGGCGCCTCTTGGGACCCATTGGGCTTGGATCTGGAACTCACAGAAAGTCCGTACGCAAGGGCTTGATGCGGTCCTGGATTTCTGAAACTCTCTCCTCCCCTGAGTTGACAGTGCAGGAGTCTTGGGCGGGTACCACTCTGCCAAGGCGCCCCCTACTGGAAATCCAATGAAATACACCTGGACTGACTTCCATCTCAGCAGCCCTTGGACCCGAGATGGGTCTGAACCAAAAACCAAACGCTCCAAACTTTGAGGTCTGGCATCCAGGTGTGCTCGGATATCACCGCTGCGCACCTGGAGAGAAAGTGGATCTCAGTGGCAGCCTTCCCTCATCAGTATAACCAAGAGACACCAGTGCCCCAGGACTTGTGGGAGGCTGACATGCAGCTGTGAATTTTGCATAGGGAGGCGCTGAGCCCTGTTGCTGGTTTCCACCTGCGAATCACTGAGGATTTCTACCCTCCGAAGTTTTGCCATCTCAGCTGAAGTGCCGGTTGATTTCCCCTGAGATGCGGTGGGGCTAGAGACATGGCTTCCCTTAAGGTCCTCCCCATCTGCTTCTTTCACCAGGCTCCTCTGAGGACCCCCTAAGCCAGTAGCTGGGAGATCAGGCCACATGGCGAACTCCAGGATGGGGGCAAGGCCAAGGGCAAGACCCAATGGCCGGAAGTTGAAGCTAGACAAATACCTGTTAGAAACAGTACAGTGAAGGTGATTAACCCTTAGAACAAGTGTCATGGGGCAGGGTGGATTCTCCGTCACGGGCAAGTGAATTGAGATTTTTCCGAAAGATCCGCGCTGATTCACCCGCAGCCATTGGACCTGAAGTGTGAGTTAATTCAGGGAAGCCCTGTGGCCACAGCTATGCCAGAGATCGGACGAGAGGATCCCAGGGGTCCCGTCCAGCCCTAAAATCGATGAATCTTATGCGGAAGGCTGCGAATGGAGAAACCCGGCCAGATTCCAGCCCCCGGAGTCCAAGCAGGTGCTGCTTGGGAAGTGGCGGAGCATTGCCGAGGGTAACATTCACCGTCGCTGCACCAAGATCCCCAGCCAGGGAAGGGCAAATGAAGATCATTCCTGGCCTCTTCCCTTGCGTTAGCCAGCCAGGAGGGGCGAGAACCTCCACTCAGACCCAGCTGTTACGCTCTGCCCCATTCAGCCAGCTGGTGCCCATTAACCCTTCACACGCTGCAGCCCTTTCGCCTCGCGGCACCAGGCTAAATTGTTAAGAATCGCACTGGTTTGAATGGCCCTCTGTCCATCCAGCAGGCGCGGCGGAGGGGATGTCACAACTGCTTCTAGGGGAGAGTCGTTCATTGTCCAGGGTCTTTGCCCTCTCTGAGGGACGCTGCCTGCCTCAGAGAAGGTGGCGCAGTGGTTCGGGTGCGAGCCGGTACGTGAGGAGACCCGGGTTCAGTTCCCTGCTCTGCTATGAGCTCCGGGTGTGACATTAGGCAGGTTCACGTTGCTTCTCTTCAACACTTCGCAGGGAGGATTAACTGCTCAGAGACGGCCCCTTAAATATCTAGGGAGAGGGCTAACCCGGGCCAGTGGGTCTTGGAGGCCTAACGAAGTGGACTGGGCCCTGCTCGTTAGCAGCACGGCACAGGGGAGGTAACGGCTCCGGGGTCCAAGCCGGGAGTTAGGGACGCCCTGCTCTGCAATAACAGGCTAGGGAGGCCGAGGGAACCCAGGGCCTTTCGGGGTCCAGCAGCCTCAATGGAGGTTTTCTATGCATCCCAGTGGAACCCGAGCTCTTCTCGCCGCCCCGAGGGACGGTGCTGTCATGCGCTGCTAGCAGTGGTGGACGGGTTCCCCCACGGGACATGTGCAAGTGGGGGGAGAAGGCGGTTATCACGAGGCAAGGTGGCCTAGTGGTTAGAGGACCGGGACTCCAGTGACCTGGGTTCTGCCACCGGCCTGCTGGGTGGCTGTGACGCTCGGCTCAGGGCACCCAGAGCTGTAAGCCCTTGAGTTAGCAAACGGCCGTGTGTCCCGGCCACGCCAGTCTGTCTGCTCCCCCAGCGAACGCTCCGCGACTCGGCCAACCGTGCCCGGCAGGTAACAGACAGCGATCCGCGGTTCGTGAGCTCACCAGCGGCGTCCAGTCCCTGTGGCACTCAGAGAAATTCAAATCGCTGCCGCCAAAGAGACAGTGCCTGTTGGATTCACACCTACTTGAATATTCCGGCCCTGAGACGCTTTAGAGCAGGGTTCTCGGCCTTTTCCTTTCTGAGCCCCCCGCAACGTGCTATAAAAACTCCACAGCTCACCTGTGCCCCAGCAACCGTTTTTCGGCACATCCAGTCATAGGCACCAGGGCTCCAGGGCCGGAGCACCCACGGGAAAAAAAACAGTGGGTGCAGAGCACCCATTGGCAGCCCTGCGGTTCAGCACCTTCCCCTCCTCCCAGCGTCTCCCACCCATCACGATCAGCTGTTCCTCGGCATGCAGGAGGCGCTGAGGGGGAGGGGGGCAGGAAGAGGCGGCGGGGGGTTGGGGGAAGGGGTGGAGAAGGGGCAGGGCCTGGGGCGGAGCAGGGGTCGAGCACACACACCCCCGGGAACCAAAAAGTCAGCGCCTATGCGTCCAGTAGATTAAAAGCTGTTTGAAGTGGATCGTTATACAGTTAACCACACACACACATCTAGAATAGAAAACAGAAAAGGAGACTGGAGGTCCTGGAATTAAGAAACTGACTTAGTGTGAAACTTGTTGCTGGTGTTGTCAACGATTCGGTCAAGACGTGAGGCAGGGCTTGGGCTTGGGCTTGCTGCCCTGTCTAACGTTAGCCCTGGTCTAACTGAAACCTGCTCAGGGCCCGCGGACCCCCGGTTGAGAACTTCAGGTTTATAGTAAAACATTATTAGCAAAGAACAGAGATTTAGGTGATATTAAGTGAGAGAAAAAGCGACAGGTCTGGGTACAAACAGCACATGCTTTCTAGTGACTAGACGTGAATTCCAGCAAGTGATGTCTTTGCCTAAATGAGTGTCTCACGGCAAGTTAGCAGCATCTCCTGCCCTTCACGTCAAGAGGATCCAACTTCCACAGGCTCACGGGCTGCTGGCCCCTCAGTCCCCTAAGCAACGGATAAAGGAAATGTCTTTTTGCTCCTCTTATATTACCCGAAGGGCATTGTCTCTGCGTCAAGAGGCAGGGAGGCTTCTTGGGGTGCAGATTCTGTCCCCCGGCAGGTTCTTCTCCGCCGCTTGTTAGCTTGATGGTTTTGTTTACCTTGCATGTAAATGTACTTTCATTATCCTCTGCCTGTAATGGAGCCGGACAGGGCAGACTGGATTTATGCTCCGCCTCCAGCACACAGCTATCAGTCGTGGTACATAATCCGTACATACATTGCCCCATGACTTTGGGGCCCAGCGTGTCACCAGTTTACATATGGTACCTCGCAGGACACCTTTTAGAGACATATTGGGACAACACTGGGTTGGGGTAATGAATGTGTCATGCCTGATATGAGGTATAGTTGGCTTTGAGCGACTCCCGGGGTCACGGTGACCTTGGGCAAGTGACTCCCCCACTTCCGTGCCTCAGTTTCCCCATATGTAAAATGCAGCTAATGATCTTGACCTCCTTTGTAAAGGGCTTCCAGGCCTCCTGACGAAAGGTGCTATTGTTATCACTGACCCTGTGGTAGTACCTGACTGTCCCAATTCATCAGGGCACCCGCTGTGCTACGCACCGTACAGACACCTACGGAGACGCTGTCCCTGGGCGTGTGCTAAACAGGGTCACCGTGCGCCATGTGCTACACAGAGCCAGAGCAGGTGGAAGGGGCGCCCCCTAGTGCTTCCCAGGGGTCTGATCACATGCCGCGAATGTGGCAAAGATCTAGTTGCTATCCCCAGCTCTTCCACGGACTCCATGAAGGGTCCTTGGCAAATCTCTCTCTCTCGCTGTAAATGGGGGAGACTCATCCCTGGGTCCGCCTAGCCTGGGAGCTCTTCGGGGCAGGGGCGTGCGTGGGCAGCACCGGGCACAGCGGGGCCCTGCTCTTGGCTGGGCGCTACCATAATACCTCTACGTGCCTCCTCGTTTCTCGGTACGAGCTGTTGACCCTCTCCGCCGCTCACAGCTCTGTATGCGTTTCGTGTGCCCCATCACCCAGGCTGCGGCTTGTCCTCAGGTGACTTCCGGCCTCCATTCCACGCCGTCTCCCCTGCCCCACACCCGTCCTGGCACCCACCAACTCACCCGGGGGGGAGCATGGAACTGCCACCTTGCATGGGTGTAAACACTGACACACGGGAGCATCTCGCTTTGGGAGGTCAATGGCTCTGTGGTGAACCCATCAGCTCTGCTCCACTCCCGTAGCACTCACGTAAAGTCCCGGCCCCTGCTGGTGTAGATCCGCAGTGCTCCATTGAAGTCCTGAATTGGGCTCTGTGGAAATCCTGGGACAGGAGTCACATGGGAGGGAGGGAATGACAGAACAAGGAGCAATGGTCTCAAGTTGCAGTGGGGGAGGTCTAGGTTGGATATTAGGAAACACTATTTCACTAGGGGGGTGGTGAAGCACTGGAATGGGTTCCCTAGGGAGGTGGTGGAATCTCCATCCTTATTGGTTTTTAAAGTCAGGCTTGACAAAGCCCTGGCTGGGATGATTTAGTTGGGGTTGGTCCTGCTTTGAGCAGGGGGTTGGACTAGATACCTCCTGAGGTCCCTTCCAACCCTGATATTCTATGATTCTATGAATCAGAGAGTCACTTCTTTGGTTGTCCCTAAGACCCGACATCTGGACAGGATGCAACCAGCACCCCACCTGCACGGTTATGAACCGAGATGCGCGGGGCCGGGGTCTCCGCCGAACCAAGACCCCTCGCCCCACGCTTGGGCTGGATTCCTTGGCCAGGGTGGTGCGGGAGGGGGCGGGGCAAGGGCCTTTTGACTCCCCGCCGGTTACCGTCTGCCCTAATCGTTCGTCCCCCGCTCTTGTTCATTTCTAGGTTTAAAAGTGGCCCCCCCAACCTCGGACCTGTGGCTCCGTCCCCCCCTGCCCCGCTAAAGAATGTTTACAGAGACGCCTCCTCGGACGCCTGGATCAGCGGCGGACGACGTACTATTATTTTTTAATCTATAGATTATAAATATCGACTCCTGTTTGTTTTCTCAAGAGAAAAATATTTAATATTTATTCTTGCTGCTATGTGAGTTGGGGGGTGCGGGGGGGACCAAGGGAACAGAGGAAGGTTTGGAAGGTGGAAAGTTGGCTGTGGAGGGGGTGCGGATGTCTCTTTTGGGGGGAGGGAGGTTGTTGGGGGGGAAGTTGGAGAGTAGAGGGAGGGGGGGATGTTGCACTGGAGATGCATCAGGAAGACAGTAGAGCAGTAGTCAGAAAAGGCCGGTCCTTTTCCAGCAGGGGGCTGCCAGGAATGGACTCTTTGTTCCTTTTGCCCTGGCTTTTTAATTATTATTATTAATTATTATTATTATTATTATTTTAATGCTGTGGTTTTGTCTCAGACTGCTTCCCTGTCGAGCTGAAGGAAGGAAGCCCCTCCCCTTGCCACTTGGCCAATCAGAGCGGTGGCTGGGGATAAGCCCCTCCCCCCCGTGCAAGGGGCGGAGCCACGTGCTGAGACCACATGGCGGAAAGCTCTCGACACCCTTTATGTGCCAGAGATGGGTTGGAAGGGAGGCGGTTAGACGGGACGCTCCACTAATGGATTCTTTTGCTTTCAGGAACCAATGGCGCGAGGGGATAGGAACGACTCTTTAAAGCGTTGCAAAGGTGGGGGGGGGGAGAAAAATCTTTAATGGTTTTTTAATTATTATTATTTGAAAACTTGCGTTGGTTTTAATTTAAAACAAAAGAAGTGCCGTGTACAAAAAGCTTTTTGGAGATACTCTATATACATATTTAAATTGTATATATTGTATATTTATAAGAAGTGTCCTGTACATATATCCCTGTCTGTTTCCCGGATTTTTTTTTTTCCTTTTACATTTTTGTATGTCCCCGTTTTCTCTCAAAAGAAATATATAAAATATCTATTTTGCTCAGTGAAAAAAAACCCAGTTTGATGCTTTGTTTTTCGGACGGATCTACTTTGATTTTCTTTTAACGCTGGTGGAAGGTTGAGTGGCAGATTCTGTTGTTATAAGGTGACTTGATCACAGTCTACGAGCATCTACAAGGGGAGAAGAGATCTGATACTAGAAGGCCCTTTAATCTTGCAAACAGGCACAGTGAGATCCGGTGGCTGGGAGCTGAGGCCAGACAAATTGAACCTGGAAATACAGCACAAATTTTAAGAGTGGAGGAAGAGGAGATTAACCCTTTAATCAACTGACCCAGGGAGGGGGTGGAGTCTTTCCATCAACATTCAGTGTCTATTTAGAAAAGATCTGTTCTAGCTCGACCACACGATATGGGCTGGAAGCAGAACTCACGGGCTGGGGAATCTCCAGCCTGGGTAATGCAGGAAGCTAGACTAGATGATCAAAGTGGTCCCTTTTGGCCTTAAGAGCATCTACGAATCTCTCTATGGAATCTATTGGAGGTTGTTTAACACCCTCAGAGAACTTTCATATCAAGAGAAATTGTAAGATGGGGACCGTTTAGAGAGGAGATATATAAGAGGGACCTGGGAGGCAGCGTGCCCTAGTGGATACAGCACTGGAACGTGGGGCACTGGGTTCTATTCCTGGCTCAGCTGCCGGGTGACCTTGGACAAGTGACTTCGCCCCATCCGTGCCTCAGTTTCCCCATCTGTAAATGAGGATAATGATACTGCCCTCCTTTCTAAAGCGCTTTGAGATTTACTGATGAGGAGTGAGAGATTATGATGATAAAGCCACAGAACACCGTGACTGGATTAGGAAGTATTTTTGTTCACCCTTTTCCGTGACTCAGGAACAAGGGGCCGTTCAGTGAAGCGGAGAGGCAACCGATTTTAAACCGACAAAAGGATTTGGCCTGTGGAACTCACTGCCACATGATTTAGCAGGGTTCAAACCAGGATCTGAGGTTTCTGTGGATAATGGGAATAGCCAGTTACCTTAGGAAGGATTAAAACACAGACCTATGTGCTCATGCTTCAGGGCAAAAGACAACCCAGTAATTGGTTGGGGTCAGGTAGACACTTCCTCTCTGGGCAGATTATCTCTTCGTTGTTCACTGGGGGTGCGTCTTGCACCTTCTTCTGAAGCAGCTGGGACTGGCCACTCTGGAGACCGGATACCAGGGTTGATGGGCCCCTGGTCTCAGAACTATGACTCTCTGTGGAGTTAGTCTGGGTTTGCCTCACTGTAACTAAGAGCAGGGAAACACGCAGCACCCCTCAGCAAAATACCCTGGGGCTCTTGGCAACCTCCAAAACACCCGAGGATGCCCTGGAGGGGGCGACGTGGCGGGATGCCGGCATCCGCTCTGGGGAGAGGCTGTGGTAAATGGCGCCAGTTCAGCTCCAGCTGCTGTGTGTGGGATGGGACGGTTACTGCCACCTAGGGCAGATGGGGCTCCCAGAGGCGTTGATAGCCCTGCTGGGTGCATCTGGGCACAGCCCTGAGGTGAGGCCTCGCCCTCCAATCTTGGTCCCCCCCGTCAGTGCCTTGTTAAGGGATTGGCACCACCTTTAGGTCCGGTCCTTGCCGGGCCAGCCCCCGTGCCCATGACACAGTGCCTTCCATTCCAATGGCACTGCCTCTCCGCCCAGCTGGGATGGGGGTCCGAGTCAACCAACCAGGCCTGCTGCCTCGCCACCACATGCTGCGGGTTTAACGCCAGGAAAAGGGCAGTTCCAGGGCGGGTACTACCTGGGGCAGCGGCAGGGCAGTCTTCCCTGCATCATCCCCACACACCATCCTCCCCGCCAATTCCCCCGCTCTGGAGAGGGGCAGCTCAGTCACTGGGTCTCGTCACCAACCAGGCTCCGTGACTGCTGCAGCGGGCTTTTGCTAGAGGATGGGGGTCTTTTGGGGGCAGAGAAGCATGTGGGGCTCTGTTTGGGGCAAGGGGCGTGGCAGGGCTCGCCCGCAGGATCCCGGCGCCCTGGGGAAGCTGCAGACAAACAAGCCACACACAAAACAAAAAAACCGAGGCACGTTTTGTTTCGGGGTTTCTTTGTTCATGGATTTCCGCCCATTGTCCGTGTCAGTTTCACCCTGGCGTGGAGCCACCCTGCAGCAGGTACATTGCAAGAGGCGCCCAGGGCAAAGCTGCGCCAGCCCCACGGCAAAGCCGCTCCCCCCCCCAACCCGCTCCCAGGTCTCTTCGACAGCCACCTTGGGGGGAAGCAGGCAAAGCTGGGAGTCTGTTAGGGGTCTGCGTGGCTCAGTGCTGGGACGCGACCCCAGCCAGGCACTGTCGGGCATGGGGTTAGCTCTGGGTGGGCTGTGCTTGGAGTCAGTTCTGGTCCCGGTGCGGTGCTAGGGGATGCCGGGATGGGGGGGCTCAGTAGGGGGCGCTCTCCCTGGAGAGTCAGTGCTGAGTCCCTAGACCCGCTGTGGCGCTAGGGGGCGCTGTGCTGCAGGAAGTGGGAAGGAGGGGCTTAATATGGGGCGCTATCCCCTGGCAGTCGGGCTGACCCCGATGCCCCAGTGTGGCACTAGGGGGACGCTATGCTGCAGGGAGCCAAAGGGGGCTCAATAGGGGGCGCTCTCCCCTTGCAGTGAGAGCTGACCCCCTCCCCCAACACTCGGACGCTGGAAAATGGTGAAAAGTTCATGCTACTCTCTAGCCCATCCCTGTAACGAGTTGCAGGGGGTCTCAGTGCAGTTCCGGGAGCAACTTCCCCCTTTGGCAAAGCAGAGACACCCAGCCCCTCCCCCAACCCCCAGCAGGGTGGGGGGCAGCTCATGTATTTGGGGGAACGTGCCTGAACTGGAGGGGTGCATGCCGGGGTGCGGGCTCAATCTGGCCCCTCTGCCCAGCTCTAACGTCCGTGCAAAAAGGCATTTGATAGAAAAGCAACTACCGGGGGCGGGGGGAATGTACTAACTACCCCCCCAGCCCACTCCCGGCCGCCCCAGTGGGAGCGTCCTGGCTTCAGTGGGTTCCTCCGGCTGTGCCGTTGTATCTGCTCACCCCCCACCCCCAGCACATCCGCCTGTGTTTATTTGTGTGAAGGTGACCGTCACACACACACACACACCCGCATTCCCAGCTCCGCTTTCCCACAGTCGGGCCCCGAGAACAGGAAAGCCGCCGGGGGCCGCAGAACAAAAGTCAGGGCAGAGACCTTGGGGCGCGGCCAGGGAAAACCAGCCCGCCAGGGCCGGGGGGAGCCCCCGGGGTGAAGGTTTTGCCAGGAGCGGCAGGTGGCCCGGGAGGCTGGCAGGGTGCTCAGCGCACACGGCTGGCCAGATTCGTGCGCTCGGGATCAGCCTGGTGTCCCCGGGGGGCCAGCATCCCCCCAGTGCCACGGGGGCCCGACCCCGAGGGGAAAGTGCTGGGACACCCCCCCCCCCACTGCGATGGGGGTATGGCTAGGGCTACGGGGCCAGCATTCCCCAGTGCCTTGGGGCACGGCCCAGGGGGGGTGCTGGGATCCCCAGTGCCACGGGGAGCGGCCCGGAGGCGAGGGGCTGGGACCCCCGGTGCCACGAGGAAGCGGCCCGGAGGCGAGGGGCTGGGACCCCCAGTGCCACGAGGAAGCGGCCCGGAGGCGAGGGGCTGGGACCCCCGGTGCCACAGGGAGAGGCCCGGAGGCGAGGGGGCTGAGAGTCCCCTGGGCTCACCCCTCTGTGCCGCACAGTAACCCTACACTTGGCTGCTGTCGCTCGAGGCCTCGGTGCCCGGGGCCAAGAACCCGGGGCCGGTCGGTGCTGACAAAGGCCGGGCCCAGTGGCTCTTAGGCCCATCCCCAGGGGGTCTGGGCTCCCTCTGGATCCTCAGGCAGGGCAAGCCTGGCACGGCCCCGATCCTGTGGCCCAGCCCTGGCTCAGACCCCAGGAGTCCTGGGAGTGCCTGGCCCCCATCGTCTCTCTCAGCACCCCCCGGCCGGGGGGGACCTCGCGCTGACCTTCTCTGGTGGCGCGGGAGGCGGCGGAAGCGGCTACGTGACCCTTCGCAAACACCCCCGGCCGTCCCGGAGCAGGCTCGGGAAGCCGGGCCGCGGGGGTGAGGAAGAGAAGCTGTGACCTTCAGAGCACCTGGCAAGTGGTGAGCGCTGCGGGGGGCTGGGAGCCAGGACTCCTGGGTTCTAGCTGCAGCTCTGGGAGGAGAGTGGGATCAAGTGGTTAGAGCAGGAGGG